TTTGCAGTAAATCACTGTGCAATCAATTTTCTGGCTTTTTCAAAGATCATAGCTTCACTAACAGTATCACCTGCCAGCTGTTTGTCATTCAACCACACTAACAGAAGTTTTTCCACCTCTTCCAGTACTTGTGTCCTATGCTTGGTTAACATTGTTACTCCTTTTGCCACATTAGCTCCTTTGATGGCATCTTTATTCTTCAAAATAGTCGAGATTGTTGACTTCACCATCTTGTACTCCGAGGCCAGATCAGTCACACGAATACCACGCTCATGCTTTTTACAATTTCCTTCTTCAATTCAATGGTTATTTACTTGAAAACCTTCTTCTTACCATTCTCGCTACTTTCATTATTGCGCTGCACTTTTTTTTTTACCACCATTCTTGCTCTGCACTTTCTGGTTACCTTCATTACCGCTCTGCACGGTCTTGTCACCTTCATTACTGCTCTGCACATTCTGGTCACCTTCATTTCTGCTCTGCACATTCTGGTCACCTTCATTACCTCTCTGCACATTCTGGTCACCTTCATTATCGCTCTGCACATTCTGGTCACCTTTATTACAGTTCTGCTCATTTTTGTCACCTTCATTACCGCTCTGCACGTTCTTGTCACCTTCATTACCGCTCTGCGCATACTGGTTACCTTCGTCACCCGATATGGAGTTCGCGAACGGAAGCAACATTTTGCCGAACTTCCTGTTCTCGAACTGAATTGTTCGTGAACAGAAGCATTCGTGAACCGAGGTATTACCGTGCTTGTGATACCTAAAGTATGACCTGGATTACAGACATTCCAAGTTATATTCATATATGAAGTCAGGCTGATCATATGCCTCCTTCGATACTGTAGGTACATTCAGCAAATACTGAGGGATTTCTCCAGAAAGAAAAATCCATCATTAAAATGTACAGTATATTAGATGATATGGTTAATTGGCCCCTGTCTAAATTGCTCCTCTATGTGTGTGCAATAGGGACCTTAGATTGAGGACAGGGACAGCTCCTTGAGGACAGGGACTAATGTGAATGTTCTGCATGTAAAGCACTGTGTAAATTGTCGGCGCAATATACCGTATTTTTCGCTCCATAAGACACACTTTTTTCCCCCCAAAAGGAGGGGGAAAATGTGCCTGCGTCTTATGAAGCGAATCCCGACGCCCGAAACATGCAGTTTTGGGTGCCGGGCGAGTAGTAGGAGCCACTGCTCGTTTAATACGAGTGATCTAATGAGATCACTCGTATTAAAACCGAGCAGCGGCGACGATCGAGATCACCATAGAGCAGATGAAGAACGGAGGTTCTTTGTCTGCTCTGTGTGATCACTGAGACCCTGGCGCTGTAATCACAGCGCCACCTGTCTCAGCGGTCACTAACTGCAGCTTCTGTCACAGCTTCGGTCATAGAAGCTACGGTCAGTCGAGTGCTCCATAAGGCGCACCGGACCTATGGTCCGGTGCGTCTTATGGACCGCAAAATACGGTAAATACCATTAATAAATACATTTAATAAATAATATGTTACATAATACATACATTGGAACACCGAGTCCTGTGAACTAAAGTGATATTTCAAACATTTAGGCTCCATTTACACTGGAGCAGCTGTCCGCACGTAGTCGGCTGTATGAATACGCCCGGAGCCGCTCTAAACAGAAAAAACAATGCACTTTAAGGAGCATTGTTCAGACTATTGCAGGGGCCGTGTGGTACGAAACCGTGCGGCCCCCAAAATAGCCGCAATCGAGCGGAATCCGTGCAGTTGTTTCACATATAGCGTTTGTGTCCCACGTGGTCTTCCGCACAGAAAACCGCGCAGGAAGCGCAAACGCTATATGTGAATGGAGCCTGATACCTGAATCCAAGAAGGTTTTTGAAGGGGGAAATCATACATCTCTGCTGTATCAATAATGAAAATACATTGGTATACATGTGATGATTTTTTACTTATACTGAGAATAACTAGACACATCCACTAATAATAGCTGGATACGTCCTATATATCTTTACCATTCTTTTTGAGAATTTGTTCCTCATGTAGCTACCATTCTGCAATATAACTTGTTGACTACTGCTACTACTGCTATAGGGAAACAGGCAATATATAATTCATGAGACTGTGGTTTGTTCATTCGTTTACATCTACAATTCATAAGTCCAGTCTGTTAACCTTTTCATTTTTGTGTAGTTGCTAGACTTGTGCACGGCACAACATTTTATTTTGTTTTTGTTTTGTTTCTATTCTGATTTTTTTTTCTTCGTTTTCTGAAATTCGGATCCGTTTGATATTTGGAATTCAGATCGATCTTAGGTTTTCATTTTCAAAATCCATATCTATGTAAATCTATTTGCATAGAGTTAGGTTGTTTTTAAATATGAAAATAAAAAAAACAGCGTGAGGTCCACCCCTCCCCCACAAATTCCTACCAGATCCTTTAGGTCTGGTAGGAATTTTAGGGGGGAACCCATGCCAAAAAAAACCCCACAACACAGTTGTTGACAATTCCTCTATTGTAAAAAAAAAAAAAAAAATGTCCATTGATGTAATCCCCAGGTCAATCATGTCGTCCAGCGATGTAGATCCCTGTCAATCACAATGCCTGCCGCTTGCTGACTCAATGAAACAAAAAATCTCCGCCACCCGCTGCCATGTTAGATCCCAATGAACACCGGCCCTAAATGACAGGTCTGCTCCAGAAGGTATACAAAGGGGCGGAGCAAGTTGTGACATCACTGGACTTGTTCCACCCATTTGTTTACATTCCATTAGTGGACCAAGAGCTGTGAGCATGTTCGGCCGACCCGAAGCCACACGAAGCAGGCCGATGTACGGCGGATTTCAGCCGATGTACGGCTGAAATCAGCCGTACCAACCTGAAGTGAATAGCCGAACAGTGTTCGGCTAACTTCACTTCTGATCGGTCATTCACTCGGCTGCCCTCGGCAGCATAGTGAATAGACCACTAAATGTAATCAAAGGGGTGGAACAAGTCCCATGAAGTCACGACTCGCTCCGCCCTTTTGTTTACCTTCCGGAACAGACCTGTCACTTGCAGTTAGTGTTTGGCGGAATTAGACGTGGAAGCGGGTGGCGGGGATTTTTAGTTTCTTCGAGTCGGCACGCAACGGGCATTGTGATTGACGAGGATCTACGTTGCTGGACAACGTGATTGACATGGGGATGACATCGATGGACATTTTTTTTATGGAATGAAGGACTTGGTCAAAAATGTTTCAAAAAAGGACTTTTGCTGTCCTAGGATGCAGAGCTGGTGGTGCGGGAGGAGAGCTCGCCTCCTGTGACATCACAGCTCACAGCGCTCTCCTCCCTGCCCTGCTCTGCCTCCTGAGAGTTTCTATCCTCCGCAGTGGACGCTGCTCGGTGTCAGAGGGGACACAGAGCAGTGTACAGCAGGGAAGAAAGAAACTATGGATGCACCGCAATTTTGGCCAAAAGATAGTACTTTTGACATTTTGTCCAAAGTACCATTTTTGGCCGATATGTTTCAGCGGCCAAAATTTCGGTGCATCCCTAGTAACAACTACTCCATACTCATTCACAAGGGGGGGGGCGGGATCTGATTCAAATCAGATTCAGATAAGCTTTGTCCAAAATGTCTTGGTATGCTGATGCCTTAAGAGTTCCCTTCACTGGAACTAAGGGGCCAAGCCGAACCTCTGAAGAACAACCCCACACCATAATCCCCCTCTATCAAACTTTACACTTGGCACAATGCAGTCAGGCAACTACCATTCTCCTGGCAACTGCCAAACCCAGACACGTCCATTGGATTGCCAGACAGAGAAGAGTGATTCTTCACTCCAGAGAACACGTCTCCACTTCTCAAGAGGCCAGTGGTGGCGTGCTTTACACCACTGCATCCGATGCTTTGCATTGCACTCGGTGATGTAAGGTTTGGATGCAGCTGCTCGGCCATGGAAACCCATTCCATGAAGCTCTCTATGCATTGTTGTTGTGCCTATCTGAAGGCCAGAAGAAGTTTGGAGGTCTGTAGCTATTGACTCTGCAGACAGTTGGCGACTTCTGTGCACTGTGCGCTTCAGCATGCGCTGACCCCACTCTGTCATTTTACGTGGCCTACCATTTCGTGGCTGAGTTGCTGTTGTTCCCAGTTGCTTCCACTTTGTTATAATACCACTAACAGTTGACCGTGGAATATTTAGTAGCAAGGAAATGTCACGTACACCTGAATCCAGTTGTTTGGAGGGTGTCCCAATACTTTTGGCAATATAGTGTATGTGTAACTTCTTTCTTTCAGCACTTGACTGACATAACTACCCTTTAATGATGGAAAGCAAGTAAATGAAGGAAGAAGGGGAACGAGGAAGGAATAAAGTAAAGGAAAAGAAGGAAGACTGGAAGGAAGGAAAGAAGGGAAGGAAGGAAGGAAGAAAAAGAAGGAAGATAGGAAAGCAAGAAGGGAAGGAAAAGAAGGTGAAATAAAAGGAAAATGGGAGAGTACCAAATAGGTGTAAGTGATTAATTTCTCTACTGGACTGACAGAAGTTCCCTTTAATGAAGCTTTGCAGTAATGAAAATATATTTCTAAATGTCAGTTGATATAAATATGATCTACAATGAGACGAATGACACACCTTTGATCCTCATCTCAAAATACACGCTTTATTAGATAAAGGATGATGTATGTCATTACACATGACTTGTAGTCTTCGCAGTCTTGGATTCTACAATACAGAAGTGGCTGTCTGAAGGTTTTGTGGCTCTCGGTACGTGTGACAGTCGCCTGGATTGCCGATGTACAGCTCATGTAGTAGGTTAATGAGAATACAATAGCGCTCCTCCTCGTAATTGCACCTCATGGATGTGTGGGTGACTGGTAGAGATCAGGGCTTCATGTGAGGACCAGGCCTCCTGCCTGCCCACTCATCCCTGCAGCAGACTGGAAGGAGAAAAGAGGTGCTGCATCCGTTGCCGTGGGAACCAGGTCAAATCTCGCGAGTCCGTCCCGCATCCCTCATAGAGAAGACTAGCAATGAGTGGGGGGATCTCGCGAGGTTTGGGCCGGGTGCTACCGGTCGGAGAGGACAGAGGAGTCGCTGCGGTAGGCGAGGAAGAAGAAGAAGGTGAAGGTAGGTGCGGGGATTGAGGGACCTGAGCGAAAAGTGTGCGGGAGGTGATATCAGGTCCTCATCGCTTCCATTGCTCCTAGTACGGGCCGCTATCGATCCCGCCCACACATGATCCAAAAGCACCAACCTCCATCTTACGTTACCATCAGGAGCACCTACCCTCCACTCCATACTACATGGCTGTATGGAATGACTACCACCATTTCAGTACAACGTGATCCCAGCATCAGAGCTCTGCTCATACCTGGACTAGGTGTAGATTGGGGAATGGTAATAGTGATTGCAGGGGGCTGTGATGGAAGAGACTGGCCTGTTCCATTACTCTGTCTTCTCTGTGATAGAAACTAGGAGCCTGAGTCGTCTGATATCCGCATGTTACAGGGCTTATATCAAGGAGACACAATCATAATGGAGTGTGATAAGATAAATATTGTCACTTACTGTCACCACTGATCTGATGACATCATGTACTTAGTGACATTCACATTGTAGTATACTTCCTTCACTGACCTGGTGACACCGCTTGTACATAGTGACATTCACATTGTAGTATACTTCCTTCACTGACCTGGTGACACCGCCTGTACATAGTGACATTAACATTGTAGTATACTTCCTTCACTGACCTGAATATACTACCGACACTGACCTGGTGATACCGCCTGTACATAGTGACATTCACATTGTAATACACTGCCATCACTGACCTGGTGACACCGTCTGTACATAGTGACATTCACATTGTAATATACTGCCATCACTGACCTGGTGACACCGTCTGTACATAGTGACATTCACATTGTAATATACTACCATCACTGACCTGGTAACACCGCCTGTACACAGTGACATTCAAATTGTAACATACTACCGACACTGACCTGGTGACACCGCCTGTACATAGTGACATTCACATTGTAATATACTACCGACACTGACCTGGTGACACCGCCTGTACATAGTGACATTCACATTGTAATATACTGCCATCACTGACCTGGTGACACCGCCTGTACATAGTGACATTCACATTGTAATATACTGCCATCACTGACCTGGTGACACCGCCTGTACATAGTGACATTCACATTGTAATATACTGCAATCACTGACCTGGTGACACCTCCTGTACATAGTGACATTCACATTGTAATATACTGCCATCATTGACCTGGTGACACCGCCTGTACATAGTGACATTCACATTGTAGTATACTTCCACCACTGACCTGGTGACACCATCTAGACATAGTGACATTCACATTGTAATACACTGCCATCACTGACCTGGTGACACCTCCTGTACATAGTGACATTCACATTGTAATATACTGCCATCACTGGCCTGGTGACATCACCTTTATAATAGTGACCTTCACATTGTAAAATGCTGCAAACAATGATATGATGACAATATAACATCATATACATAGAGATAGCAGACTTGCCACACGGTAGGAACCGATTCACTTGACTTTCTGACGTGTATTTCTGGTTTGCTGCTCACTTTTTTATTTTGGGGTCTTAGATGTTTTGACAGCACTGATCTGATGACATCTGAAGACCTTATCTGACACCTAAACATCTTATGTGACTTGCCTGCCAGTGAAATTGCATGTGCTATTATCCAGTCATGTTTTGGAAACCTGTGTTGCCCCTTTGTAGAGCTATGCTGCAGCATCCATGTGTACATATACACAAACAGTAAAGATGATCATCTTTCCCCCACATGGCCAGTAAGCTGCCTCATGTAGGATTGCTGAGCCTATGGTGACACGAGACACTTACTTCACTCTCAGACTAAGCGGCCTCATGGCCAAAATGTCTCTGGAATTTTGATGAAGTGTTTAATGCATTCACTTAGCAAATGTCACAGTTACAATTCATCCATGTGTCATAAAGTTACATAACTGTAAGGTAAACTCCGTTAATCCAACCCAGGTCTGCTGCATGCCTGCATAACTTCCCAAGGACAGGAATGCCCTGCACGACCTGCGTGGAACGCCACGGCTTGTGTGATTCACTTGTCCTGCAGAATGACTGGGACTTTCAATGTTTTTACCCAGTGCAATGCTAATACAGTGACAGTTGTGGTAAGTTCAGGGCTCACTGAATATGAACACATTCAGGACCATAGTCCCAGGACATGTAGTCACTAACAATATTTCCTACATTTTTCTTGTTCCTTCTCTTTTCTTGGCAATACATACATATTAGGGCTGGTACTGATTAAAAAAATGTTGTGTTCGATTAATCTGATTTTTTTTTAATCGATTAATTTCGATTAATTATAACGCACATACAGATCCAACTACATTGGCCTATACACATACAGCACAGTAAGGAAGTAATAAAATGAACTAGGATCACACTAATCCAGCACGTTATTAATCTCATGTGCCCCACTCAATATGGCCGCCGCTTGAGTGGGGCAACTCAGAATAATAACGTGCTGGATTAGTGTGACCCTAGTTCATTTTATTACTTTATTGCTGTGCTGTATGTGTATAGGCCAATGCCTTGGCTGGCGCTCGTGCAGAAAGTTTCTTGGGCAAACTCACCGGCCCAAGTGGCTCCGTCGGCTAACGAAGGGAAGGGGGGAGGAGTCCGGTGACGTCACGGACATCGACGTCACCGGACTCCTCCCCCTTCCCTTCGTTAGCCGCCACGGACATCGACGTCACCGGACTCCTCCCCCTTCCCTTCGTTAGCCGAAGGAGCCACTTGGGGAAGGGGGGAGGATAGGGAAGGGGGGAGGAGTCCGGTGATGTCGATGTCCGTGACGTCAATGGATCTCTGACGGGACTCCCGGAAGCCGGCAGAGAGGTGAGTGTTTTCATTAGCGATCAAAGGAATTTTAATCGATCAAAAAGTTTAACGATTAATCGAGAAATTCATCGTTAATTTCCGCAGCCCTAATAAATAACAATCTTTCTGGAAGAGAAAGCTCTCTAGTTGACCAAAAATGTTATATACAACTATGTACTAAAATATAGTTAGCAAAGCTTTATCTCATATCGTACTTGGCCGGGGCATTGGACAGCCAGGTCTTCACCACATTAGATTATTGTAGCCATATACAATGTTCTAGCCAGATCTTTACCATATAGGTCATTACAATATATACATATACCATATATGATGTTCTAGCCAGTTCTTTACCATATAGTTTATTACAAGATATACATAAACCGCAGGGCTCAAAATTTCCACTCGCCTGCTCGCATTTGGCGAGTGGAAATGCAGTGCAGGCGATTGGAAATTCAGTCACGGACCGCAAGCCTGAATTGTGGGAGCATCTGCTCTTTGCTGGGCTGTCTGTTCTTTCAGCCGCAGCTCTTCACTGAGCTCCGGCCGAAAATTAAGTGATTAGTAAGGTCTGGAGCAGACCTTACTAATCACCACTAGATCACCAGGGATCGTTCCTGCTCGCCTCCTCCCTGCAGAAAGGCAAGCAGGTGAGGGGGCTTCATTGTTTTATTTTACATGGTGTGGGGAGGCAGGGAACAAGGGGATTTCTTATTTTATGTGTGGGGGGAGGGGACAGGGTGGATTTTTATTT